TATCTATCTATCTATCTATCTATCTATCTATCTATCTATCTATCTATCTATCTATCATCTATCTATCTCCTGGTTAATCACATTTTGGAATTGCCCATCTCTGTCATAGATGATTCCCTGTTCTCCATTTCACAATCATTATTTAGGGAAATTCCTATATGTTTCCTATTAAAGCAGGCAGAGATAGCTGTATGTGACGACTGTGAGCTCCATTCCCAATACCACCCCACCTTGAAAACCATCTCTTGAATTTCTACTAAGAGCCATCATTCCTTTCCTGTGCAAGAAGAGAAAGGCAGACTCTTTCATTTTTTTTCTGCTGAATTCTTTAAATTCTGCTGAATTTAAAAATTCATCATTTTTAATCTCTTACACATACATCTGTAGTTTGTATTTTAATGCAAGAACAATAAAAAGGAATTTCACACTTTAAAAATGATTCTTCTGATTATTTTCAATATTTTTCAGTTTGCTATTTTGTTTCATTTTCTGCCTAAAATTGTTGCTGATTTTGAAAATGTAATATTTGGCCTACCTAAAAGAAACAAAAAAGTATTTCAATGGTTTCTACCTTGACCTCTCCCCGCCCCTCCCCCCCAAAAGGCAGTCAATCTGCTGAGGCTCCATACCTATGTATCTATGAGAAAGAAATACAATTTTGTCAAAACAGAATCTAGACTCCAAAGAATTCAGCCCGCTTTACAGATAGAGATGTGCATAGCTTCACTTTCCTCATGGCTGGTAGCTGCAGAAATGACAGATCCACTGCCTGACAGGAAGCATAGAGAAGACAAATGAGGAATATTGGCTAGGAAGCACTACTTCAGGAGATAACGTCTATAATATTCCTGTCAGTCTGATTTATTGTTATGTTTCAGTTCAAGGATTTTTAGCCTTGCCCAAAACAAGATGGATCATCAGAACAGTTTTATTGCTGCCTATAACAGATGCCAGTCTCTCTGTCTCCCCCACTCTTTCTCCCTCCTTCTCTCTATTTCTCTCTCTTCCTCTCATTCCCTCTCTCTCTCTAATAATGACTAAATTACCCTAAATCAGGTAAGAGACAAGGCAATGTTTCTCAACCTTGGCACTTTAAGATGTGAATTTCAGCTCCCAGCTCCATGGCTGGCTGGGCAATTCTGGGAGTTGAAATCCACACATCTTAAAAGTTGCCAAGGTTGAGAAACACTGACTCAGAGGCTTATTTTTAATCCAAAAAAAAGAGAGGAAATAATATTTCTTACTGTTTTGACAATAATCTATAGTAAGTGCTTAAAGTTATGAATGAAGGTGCCTTTCTAAAACCGACCGGATGCTTTCATGCCAAGATTTTTCTTGAATAATGGCACACAACCCTTGAAAACTCACAGGGGTTTTAAAAAAAAAGTGTATAGGGTGGGGGGAATAGAAATTAAGTCAGCACAGGCTGATTTGCACAGAAAGGTAGAGCAAGATGAGACAACTGAATGAAGAAAGTCTCCTAAACAGAAATGCAAATGGCATACCGCAAACATTTATTAAAATGGAACATTTTGCTTCAATTTATGTAACACGGTTGTTATGTAACACAGAAAAAACCAAGGGCCTTCAGACACCTAAAAGGCAAGCTCATTTATTGCGGCATTTGTTTTCATGAGGAAGATGCAAGCTTATTATTTGTAACTTGCAAAGAGTTGGAGAATAATTGGGTTATAATATACAAGCAATCTAGATCATGTATTTCAGCCAGAAATATAGTAACAAGATAAACTTCCAGAACAGTGGCCCCCAACCTTTTGGGCCACCAGTGACCGATTCCATGGAGAAAGATTTTTTCCATGGACCAGAGGAAATGTGGTTTTGCATGATGCCTGCATCCTGTAGATGGGGCTTTGCTTGTTCATGGGGCCCGGTTGCTGACATGTAATGGCCCAGTGCCGGTCCACAGACCGAGGGTTGGGAACCCTCTTCTAGAATATAGAGTCAGTTTGGTGTAGTGATTAAGGCACCAGACTAGAAACCAGAAAGCTATGAATTCTAGTCCTGTCTTAGGCCCAAAGCCCAAACTCCTGCCAAAAAACCCTGCAGAGACAAATACCCACAGGCTAAAAAACAGAAACAAAACATGAATAGGAAAACTTCCATTGTAAAAGGTGACAGAGTCTTGGCTGAGGACTATTAAATATCAGGACAAAAACAATTCAGTTATTTATTTATTCCATTTCTGCAGCCACCTATTCTGCTTAGTTTTGTCAGCAGGCTTGAGGATTGCCTGAAAATAGGATGCCTGTGAAATGACTATATTTCACGTAAGAGCTTGAAGGCACTGTCCCGTGGTCTTAGTTATATTGATATTTTAATTGTTTAATGGATGTTAAAGTTTTATTTTAATTGATCCGTTTTTATTGTACAATGCCCAGAGTCAGATTTTACAGATGGGCAGCTATATAAATTTGACAAACATATAAACACAAATAAACAAACAAGTGATAAAAAATCAACGACCTCATTCAGGTATGAACTTACTCTTTGTGACCATACCTTCTTCAATGACCACTGATTCTGTTATTGCCATGCTGAGATGTAGAGGGTTGCCATAATGTAAAATTGAATGCAGTTAATATTTCATAAACACGGTAATTTACATGTGTAACACTTCATATTTCTAATTCATGAAAAATGTCATGTTGGAATTTATTTTCTCTTGAAATTAACAATAGTAAGGCGAAATTTGATCTGAAACCAGGGATAAACAACCTGTGGCATTCCAGGTGTTACAAACTTACAGTTCTAACAGGAACAAGGAAATACCACCAGGAAGTTGGCAACTACACTTTAATGCTGTGTCCTATGGTAACTGTTGCAATGTATGTTGCAATGTATGGCTATGAAGGTTGAACCATAAGAAAGGCTGAGCGGTAGAGGACAGGAAGGCCTGGAGGAACGTTGTCCATGCGTCACAATGGGTCGGACATGACTTTGCAATTAACAACAATGGTAACTGTTTGTATTCAAAGCTAAAAGAGCTTGAAATAGTTGAAGGAGAACAAAGTAATTGATCACCTATCCCAGCAGCAATTTCCTCTGTCAGTGCCTTATGGTGAGACCCAAGTAGGCTCAGATCATCAAGAACTCTTGAATCATAGATTGATTTGAAGCCAACTCTTCTTTGAGATATTTGACTAGTGTGATTAAGGTATAATGATTAAGATGTTAGACTAGTATTGGAGTGGAATAGGTCCTGTTCTTTCATTGCAAGTTATAACTCAGGTTTAAAGAACAAATATGGGTTTAGGTTTAGGTTTATTTGATTTATATGCTGCCCTTCTCCCAAGGACCGTATGTGAATTAAAGCGCACATATCTAGTACAAAAACCCATTTGTACTTGCTAATTAGAGGTCAGTCCTCAGTTAAAATAATATTATAGAGCAGCTTTTCACTTTCAATCTTGCAAGTAAATCATTTTCTTATTATAGTTGACAACAAATGTTAGTGATTTGATCAGATTTCATCAGTATGTCTTACTGGGCATTCATTTTATTCAAGAAATTATCAAAATGAAATACAGAGTTATTTGGCATTATGGATAGCAGACAAAACCTTCAACGTGTACAACACTTGCAAAAGTGTTTCAGAGAGCAAGGAGAAGTTTCAGATTAACAATGAGAGGAAAAACCATCTATTTACAGAACTACTTATTCAAGTGCCTGGTTTCAAAAGCCCAGGTGTCCATCAAAGGATTTGTGTTAGAATCAACACTGCTATCTACACAATGATCATTGCGGCGGTTGAGGAATATCGATCATTTTTCTCAAAAGGGCAGATATAGTACCAAGGTTTACCCAATGCAGATGTTTTGCTGGTTGAAACCAGAATACTGGTTCTAAAGCAGCTATGAAACTTTCAGCATTTACATTATACGTACCAAAATGGAAACTATTAAATTGTCATTTAAATTGTCAAAGGTAGTTTAAGAGTTAAAGGGTAAGATTATTAAAAGAATAAAGTCTATTATTGGTAAACACTATGATACTTGCGAGATCTTAATCTCTCTGAGCTTGGTGGTTTTCCTGCAGATGTTTCTAATAGCTAGTACAGTTATTAGTACTGTTCATATCATCTCGTTTGGTACTGAAACATCTGCAAGAAAACTACCAAGTTCAGAGAGCACCAAGGGCCCCAGACCTTAACCTGAGTTACAAATATTCTCTTTTATCAGCAACTTAATCACTGCATTGCCTAACTACAATGGCAAGCTACATACTGTAATTATGGGCAAGTAGTCACCCCTGGTTTCTAGCCTAGTGCCTTAACCACTACACCAAGCCAGCTCTTATCACATATATATATTTCACAGCAATATATCAAATTGAGTAAAAAATCTTAGCTAATTTTTGTCTCCTGCAAAAATCATGTAATTCTTTTTGATCTCAGAATTGGTATGAATCTTTCTCTTGAAAAGATTATATAGCCCACAAAGGCTACACAAAGACAAATTGACCTAAGCCAAGCCCTAGTACCTGAAGACCATCCAGAGTCCTTATTTTGTAACCTTTTGTGATGATGTTACCCTTTAATCTGGCTTGCAGTTTCCTAGGCAACAGTTCAAAAAGTGGCCTACCATTGTTACTTCCTAGGACTGAGTGGTGATGACTGGCTCACAATCTCCAAGTGGGGCTTTTAGCGATTCTAGTCCAACAACTTAACCATAAACCATTGTTTTAAAAAAGATTTTAGACATATTTCTGTTTTAAGACCAAGTAGGCAATATTCACAAGCATTGTGAATATTACACTGAATGTTACACTCATCATTTACATTTGTTTCTTCCTGGTTCTCCAGATTGACAGTGAGTGATAATGCCATTATTGTCATCTTAAAAATAAGGTGACAGTTTTATTGAAATAGTGAGCATGGACCATTACTAGATTTGTCAGAATCATATTTTACCATTGTACATTCCCTCATTAATAAAATCCAGGAGTGTAACCCTGTGTAAATTAGGAAAAAGCCCCACATTTTTAAATGCCCTCTCCTTCATGATCCTCTGTGAATCACTGCTGCTAATTTAAAAGTTTCTAGAAAATGCTTATTATGAAAGTCCTGTGGGAAGGAGGTAAAAGCCTACCTCTCTCCCAATGTCACCTTTCCTCTGTTTCCTACCTGACCTTCCAATGAACTCCAGGCAATAAGACAAAAGACTACTTAAGTCAATTGAAAGCTTGGCTGAAACAGACAATGCACTTTTAACAATAAATAAAATTGGCAAAAGGCATCAACTTAACCAAGTGAGAAATTTCCCTCAAGTTATTAAAAGTTTCTCCTTCCGATAATAGATTTCCTCACAAAAAGCCTTCACTCCCGAGGTCATCCCCCAACTCACAAAAAGATAAAGATCATAAACCTTGCAGGACACCAGGTCGCATTTCCCCTTCACAAGACCTAATGCACTTTTCCAGGAATCCCTAAAAGATAAGCTGAGTTCTCCAGCTTTCTAGAAACTGTAGACTAACTCCTTCTATAAAAGAAACCGTCTCAGAACCATAATTTATGACCACCTTCAAGAGCTACAAGTCTGCCTGTATCTTGCCTTTGAATAAATATCTTCAAGTAGCTGTCCTCTTTTTTTCTTTCAAGGCCAGTTTGGAACGGATCAAGATTTTCTTCTAACAGTCCCTTTCCTTGGCTCTGTTCTAACATGTTAATGTAAACCTACCTTACTTCTGCATTTAGTTTCACTCTGACCTAGTTTACAATCTATTTTCTATCGCCATATGTATGTGTGTGAGAGAGTGATCCAACACACACACACAAATAGATACATGGTTGATAGAGCTTTAAATGGCACCTGTTGCCACAGATTGCAGTCTACAAAGTCTTGTGACACACAATTGTTTGCTTGTTTTTCCTGCAACAGTTTAATAGGCTGTTGCATATTAGATAGGCTTCTTGTTGGAAAGAACCTTTCTGTGTTTGATTGGGCGGGATAAGGATTCGGTTCTTTGCATATAATACTGTGAACTGGCCTGAATCTGAATGCATGATCTCAACCCAGCAGAGAGTCTCTGATTGTGCTCTGCACTCCATTTTTTTTGCTCTCTAAAACCCCGTTATTTACACCTTGTCTATGGCTGTCCTATGGTCATGTGCCAGGCAAGGATACTAAAGCCAAATAGTCTGATTAAAGATTATGAGATATTGCTGGGTTTCAGGACTTGAGAAATGAAAGTGATATTAAAAATGTTTTATTCATAACAAGGAAACTACTGCTTTCCTCTTGAGTTGACACATGATTATTATTTCCTGAGGCTTGCTCTACCTATGTCTATTTTGTTAGTGACACAACACGTACTAGGGCTTCTCTAACCTCAGATATAATTTAGAAATTCGGATCCAGCCGTGAAGAAAAAGAGACTTTGTTAGCACAGAATGATCCAAAATAAATACAACTTCAATTTCATGGCTGACCTGAGTCGTAATTTGATACTGGTGCTTTCTCTAACCGAATGCACATTTATTACTCTGAATTCCTAGCTGTTAGCAAAATTAGTTCAAGCACTCATCTGTTGGCTAGATGGATTGATGTAAAATAAAAAAAAAGGTTAAGCTAAATCCTTAAGAGACTTCTCATTGTGGTCATAACAGTAAAAATTAATGAAAGGCCCCCAGGATTTAAAAAGCGGTGCTAATTTTTTGCTTTAGATCTCCACCAGCTATCTTTATAGATTAGAACAGTGTTTTATGTAATCTCAAGTTTTAAGAGAAATACGATCCAGATTCTTGCATTTTATATAGATAGCGTAGATAATGAATCAAAAATCACACTCTCTGGGTTACATTTTCAATTAGTTTCAACATAGTTCACTTTAAGATAGTTTGGTTTTCTGGCAGTGGCAGTTTTTTTCTCTGCAGAAACTTCAAAGTTGGCCAATGGGCAAATAATAAATTTGCATGTGTTTAAATGAATTAATGTACATTTGGGATTTATCTGCATGGTTTTTAACTCCTCAGGTCTTTAAGGCTTCTGAATGGGTCTTTCTCCCATCTCTTATTAAAAAAAAATAATTTGCCTGATTTGAGTGGGAATTAAGTAGATGAGTACAAGAGAACTAGTTTGGAGCAGTGGTTAAGGCATCAGGTTAAAAACCAGGAGACTCTAAATTCTACTCTCACCTTAGGCATGAAAGCCAGCAGACTATCCATGGACCACTCCCTTTCTCTCAGCCAACTCACCTCACATAATTGTTGTGGGGGAAGTAGGCAGAGGAAGGAGTATTAGGTATGTTTGCTCCTTGAGTTATGTTTAAAAAATAACACACAAAAAAATCAAAAAGAAAGGTTACATTGCAAAGAACTGTAGAATCATTGATTGAACTGTAGATTGAAAGTTGACACCTTGGCAGAGCTTAAAGGAAAGCTAATCAGGTTTGGTTTGGGATAATATTTTAATAGGAAAGCACTAAGAAACCCTATAATTGTGAACTAGGTAAGGTAAAGATAAAGGTTCCCCATACACATATGTGCTAGTCGTTCCCGACTCTAGGGGGCAGTGCTCATCTCTGTTTTAAAGCTGAAGAGCCAGTGCTGTCCATGGTCATGTGGCCGGCATGACTAAACACTAAAGGTGCACGGAACACTGTTACCTTCCAACCAAAGGTGGTTCCTATTTTTCTACTTGCATTTTTTATGTGTGTTCGAACTGCTAGGTTGGCAGAAGCTGGGACAAGTAACGGGAGCTCACTCCATTACGCAGTGCTAGGGATTCAAACCTTCTGATCGACCTTCTGATCAACAAGCACAGCGTCTTAGCCCCTGAGGCTCTGCGTCCCTCAGCTCTTTGCTGTAGGTGGCATTAAAAATGAGCCCTTGTCATAATTTTCTCATCTAATTCCTTTACATAAGGAAGGTACAAAACTCACCGTCTCCCCTCCAGATCATGCCAAATCTCCTTTACACTTTGTAGTTCCAGAGCAGTTTAACCATTTGGGAAGTATATCTTTCAAATAGGAAGCAGTTTGATGTTTTCCAGTTGTGGTCTAGCTCTGAAACAGGCTGTTTTATCCAGATTGCCCTGTTTGGGGCACCTTCAAATGCTTTGGCTTGGAGAAGGTTCAGTAGGACCATTCTGGATTTTCTGAATCATTCCATTCCCAAATCAGTAATTTTTTGCATATCACTTTGCATCTGATCCTTTAGCAAACAAACTTATTTCAAGCATCAATTTAAACTCCAGCTGTCAAATGACACTCCTGAAACACTGAATTGTGGTTTGTAGGTGATGGAATTGGTGACATTTGTGAATCGGACTATGATCAAGATACAGTGATTGACCAGATTGATGTTTGCCCTGAGAATGCAGAGGTCACTCTGACTGATTTCAGAGCATATCAGACTGTTGTCCTGGATCCAGAAGGTGATGCTCAGATTGATCCAAACTGGGTGGTTTTGAATCAGGTAAATACTTTTTGAAATCTAAAAGCAGGCAGGAATGAACAGTTGGACAATCTGACTCTTTGGTGTTTAGCAAAAAAAACCTCAGTTATCTACAAACAAGCTAGAAGTAAATTCACCTAAGCAGAAATTTGCTTTGAGAGTTAGGAGGGAGCCCATAATAAATTTGCCTTCTAAGTCAAGAGATAGTACTTGGTTAACATAAGAACCTTAAAGAAAAACAGTAAGAGCCATTCTACTCAGGGTGCTCTAAGATTGAAACATCCAAATCAATGTACGAGAGTCTGCAGCTGTAGCATACAATGCTTATGGCATGTTTCTTTTCCTGCCCCAAAACAACAGGCATATATCTGTATCCAAACCAAGTTTGTGGCTGTCTTTGAAAAAATTAAAAGATTTAAGTAGCCAATGGCCGTAGCTCAGCTGGTGGCAAAAATCAAGTTCAAAAGAAGGCACAGAAGCAGAAACTGACTTTCTATGGAATGAGAGAAGAGCAGGCCCAGTGGCTGAGAATCATAACCGGAAAGAAGAGATTTAGAAAACGCTGGGCCTTGCAGGATCCCAAAAACAATTGTCAAGCCTTTGCAGATAAAACAGGAGTGGCCAGGGGAGAAAAAATAAACTGCAGGACGTGTTAGGCTTTACCTAGCCAACACCGAAAGTCAATGATTCAGAACAGATGATAGAATCTGTTTATTGCAAGCACTAGAAAAGCCATTGAAAAAGAAATCTGACAACTGCCAAGAATAAAATGCAGGCCATATTTATTGCAAAAAACAAGTTTACGTTTGTGTACCTCTTTCTACTGCCAGCATTATATTACAGACTAAGAATTCCTTGCTTGGGACAAGAGAAACAGTTGGCATTTAGCCTTTGTTACGATAACAATCCATTTTGATGTCAGGTGATGTCAGTTTTCTAACTTTGCCAGGTGGTGGATTCCTAAAGTGCAGAAGGGAAGAACAATTGTTGGAGCCAAGAATACTACAAATGAGATCCTTAAGCCATAACAAAATAAAATCAAAACATTGGCTTACAAAGGGTCTGATCTTTGTTCTCTAATCACTAATGCTTAGAGCTCATTCAACTCATATTACAAAATAACAAATACGATTTCACTGATACAATGGAGATGCTAGGATGCTTCCCATATAACAACTAAAGCAGGGTTGTCAAACTCGCGGCCTATGGGCCAGATGCGTCACGCGATGGCCACACTCACGCCCGGTTTAGCAAAGGGCGGGGGAAAGTTGTGTTACGTCCCATGATGACGCGAGTTTGACACCCCTGAACCAAAGGGTACAGTTTATGTAGATGAGATAGAACTTAACCACTGAAAGGGGGAAATCACACTGTTAAGAATATGCATTCTTGCTCATAAGTTTAAATGAATGAACTTGCTAATGCTCTAGAAGCATCTGGCTTAATAAAAAAGAGAGGAACAAATAAAAGCAGTATTGTTAGTATCTGCTATTGCCTGGCTGACCAAACAGAAAAAGCGGATGATGCCTTCTAAAAATGCAAATCTTTCAAAGAGGCACAGAATCATAGTGATATAGTAAGAGACTTTAATTACCAAATATCTGCTGGGAAATAAATTCTATCGTGGCCTTTCCATTTCTAATTTGTCTTGGTAATAACTTTTTCTTTAGAGAATGGAAGGAAGTACAAGAGGATCAACTGTCTTTGACTTGATAATATTCTATACAAAAGACTCAGTTGAAGAATTAATAATATAGGGAAAAAAACAAAGAAATTGAGAAAAAATGACCATGTAACACTGGAATTCCCGATTTTACATTCATGCATATACAGTATAGGCACATATTTGTCACATTATTCACTTTTGAGTTGTAATATTATGCAAAGCACAGAAAAATAGAAGTAGACAAAATAAAGGCAGAATATAAGAGAAAAATTTGAATTCTAATTCAATTTAGTTTACACAAACACTATACTATCTTATACCAATGCCATTCAGTGCCAAGACTAGTTTATACCAATCTCTCCATACTTTTCTATCTTTGCGCATCATTCTTATTTTCACTTTGTTGACACTGTTAATTAAATGTTTTAAAAATACAGAGAAATATGAAAGATAAAAGAATAAAATACAAATAAATAAGAATTTAAATATAAATGTAAATATATTAAGCATAATTTTCCAGAGCTTCCAAGTGAGGGATAGTGAGTGGAGTCAATGACTGAATAAAACCAAAGGACCAGTGCATTTTTCACCTAATCACAAGCTTCAAGACTTAAATAATTAGAAATAAATGGCACAAAGCTGAATAAGAATTTGGAATAGTATGATAGGCTTGTATGTGTGTAGAGAGCCAATTTGGTGTAGTAGTTAAGGCATGAGGCTAGAAATCAGGAGAGTGTGATTTCTAGTCCTGGTTTAGGCACATGACTTTGGGTTGGTCATTCTCTGTCAGCCCGTGAAAGGAGGCAACAGCAAACCATTTCTGAAAATTTTGTCTACAGGACAGTGGTGGGTTATGACCGGTACGGGCATACCGGTGCTTGCCGGGAGCACCAGGTACCATTCCGGTACAGTGCTCTGGAGGGCCCACCCGCCTGCCTGCGCTCCTTACCGGTATTTGAAGTTTTCAGGGTTTGCGCGCAAGGAGAGTATGGCCCCTGCGCGATGCTCCGCCAAGTAACTGGTGCATTGCAGAGGCGTTGTGGAGCGTCGCGGACTGTAAGTATGGATGCGTGCACTGAGCACGTGTGCGCGCACATTGCACGCGTTCGAGTAGTGGGCACCCGGCCCCATTGCACCATACCGGTTGCAACAGGATCCGGAACCCACCACTGCTACAGGACCTTTTCCAGGCACTTCTCAGAAATTAAAAAAATTGTCTAGAAGACATATACAAAAAATTATGTGTATGTACGTTTACAAAAGAGACCTTTCTGAACTTATTGGTTTGGTATTTTTGTATTTTACTGTAAGAAGCAAAATCTAACTTCTTCTATTCTTTGTTTAACTAATTGTGTTACCTACATTTTGCAGGGTATGGAGATTGTGCAAACTATGAACAGTGATCCTGGACTTGCTGTAGGTATGTACCCCATTTCTCTGAAGACAGTTACAGCAAATCCATACACACACAAATATTTTGGAATAATCAATTTATACAATCCAATTCACTCCCCATTCTTCAGCCAGCTGAATTTACCATAGGAATGTTCATTGCATCTCTCCTTCCAATCTTTCGTCATTCTACTTAACAGGAAGTGCTCACCACAGAAAGTCTAATGAAGAATGTAAAGCATATATAAAGGGAAAACTTTAATTCTTTCACATCTGGTTAAGGACTAAGAAAACCAGGACTTGGAAAAATCCTTATTTGCGCCTTGAAGTGCTATTGAGCCTCACTGAGCCGCGGTGGCACAGTGATTAAATGCAGTACCACAGCCTACTTCTGCTGACTGCCAGCTGCCTGCAATTTGGCAGTTTGTGTCTCACTGGCTCAAGGTTGACTCAGCCTTCCATCCTTCCAAGGTTGGTAAAATGAGGACCCAGATTGTTGGGGGCAATACGCTGACTCTGTAACCCACTTAGAGAGGGCTGTAAAAGCATTGTGAAGCAATATGTAAATCTAAGTGCTACTGCTATTGTCAATAAAAGTGGACAGTGGTGGATTTCGATTTCGATTCGATTTTATTGTATTTCTATGCCGCCCTATTCCCCGAAGGGACTCAGGGCGGCTCACAAACCGAGTAAGGAGGGGGGGATACAAACAGGAACAAAAAAGACAATGGACAAACAACGTCACAATTTAAAAACAATCAACAGCCACATCATTCGAGCGGGGACAGTAACTCATCAGCCCCAGGCCTGTCGGAACAGCCAGGTTTTTAGGGCTTTGCGGAAAACCTGGAGGGTGGTGAGG